GGAGGAGGAAGGAGGAGGAGGAGGGAGGAGGAGGAGGAGCAGAAGCAGGAGCAGGAGGAGGAGGAGGAGGAGGACGAGTGGGGGAGGGGAGGGGGAGGGGGAGGGGGAGGGGGAGGACGGGCGTCCCCCGCAGCACCGGCCTGCGCGCTTAGAATTGACCCCCCCCTCGCGGCTCCCCGCACGCCGCGCCACCGAGTCGAGGGGCCAGGAGAAGCGACACCACCACCACCACCAGGGGGTCCGCCTCCCCAGACCCCCTCGAGCAATGAAACAATCACGGCGGGAGATTTTTCGCTACTTTCGGCCTCTGGGGGCCCTTACCGGGCCTCGGGACCACGTCAAAACGTTTCGGGATGAAACTCCTGTCCCGGGGAATGGGTCGAGACCTCTGGGGGCCGACGTCATGAAACAATCATGACGTCGGGGGTCTGGGTCCAGCGATGAGGTCCATGATGCCTCCCCGAGCTGAGGACAGGGGGTGCTTCGAGCTCGAAAAGGGGAGCAAACCACCAAACCTCCAGCGAGGAGGTCCAAGACGCGCCTCCCGCTGGTGGTCCCTGGAGGTGGTGGTGGTGGTGGTGGTGGTGGTGGTGGTGGTGGTGGTGGTGGTGGTGGTGGTGGTGGTGGTGGTGGTGGTGGTGGTGGTGGTGGTGGTGGTGGTGGTGGTGTCGCGCTTTCCCCTGTTCCCAGGGTCACTCCTGCCCAAGGCCACGCTCGCGTGCACGATCGGTTCGCGTCGTGCCAACCGGCTGCGACCCCTCCTCCAACGTTCAAGGTTGAACACCGCCGGCGACCCAGAGCGGGTCGATGTTCAACGATCTGATGTTGCGGAACCGGCCGCTCGTTCCAGGTTGAACGATCCTCGCGGTGTCAGGAGCCCGTGCCGAAGTCGGTACGGCACGAACCCGCGGTACAGCCAAAGCGCTGAAATGAGGAACAGTTGGGGTTCGGAGAGGGGCTCGATATGTTCCTTGGGTCCTCCCACGGCTGTTCCTCTCGCCCTCCTCGTGCACGCATACCCTCCTCAAGTAAGTCAGATACACACCAGATGCACATGTCAGCCAGACGCACCTTTCGTCCCGACTCAAACGCTCTTTCAGCGTCTCCGTCTGACGACGAATACAAACCAGGGCATGTATTCACTTCGTTACTTGACCCCCGACGTCATGAGTTTTTCGTGACGTCGACCCCTGCAGAGGTCTCGAAACATTTCCCGGGGCCAGTTTCTCATCCTGAGTCGTTCTTGTCACGCTCCCGTGGCCGGGCAAGGGCCCCCAGAGGCCGAAGATAGCGAAGCACCTCAAGTCGTGATTTTTGGCATGACTCGGTGAGGACCTGCGGGAGCAGAACACGGGGCCCAACAGGGCCTCTGTTTTGAATTCCCCAGCAGGGGCTTGTTTCTTATTTCAAAAAACAGGGCTTGTTTTTTGAAATCAGAACCCAACCGAGGCTTGTCCTTTGAATCCAAAGGCCCAGCAAGGGGCCTCGCTGCTCGTCGGTCGCTGCGCCTTCCAGCAGCCCCCCGGGCGCCCCGCCGCGCCCGCCGCCGTGCCCGCGCGCCCCGGCCCCTCGCAGGCTGCCGCTGGGCCCCGTGGCCTTCCACAGGCCCGGGCGGCGCGCGGCACCGGCCCCCCCCCTTGGCCTCGGCCTGCTCAGTCAGGGTCGGGGGCGGCAAAGAGGGGGGTGATGACTAGGGGAGGGGTGGATATCATGGCGGGGGCCATGATATTTCCCCAGAGTTCATGGCGCCTCTTCTTATCTCATGACGTCCCTGGCCCCCCCGCTGGGCCGCGCACATGCCGCCGGTCATGAGTTGCACCCCGCCCTCTTGGACTCCCCCCTCTCGGCCTGCTCCCGACAGGGGCAGGCGGCGTCGATTCGCGAGAGCCAGCAAGATGGCGTGGGAGACACCCAGGAAGGAAGGAAGAGGGAGGAGGAGGAGGGAGGAGGAGGAGGAGGGAGGAGGAGGAGGAGGAGGGAGGAGGAGGAGGAGGAGGAGGAGGAGGAGGAGGAACCCTTCGAGTCGCCACCGAAGGAAGGGATCCGGGCCTCCCGGCGCTGCGACGCAGAGGCACGAGGTGCGCTCTGCTGCGAGGCCTCGGTGTCCGGGAGCCGCTCCCGGGCCCCGGTGCCGTACAGGGCACGATTCCCTCCTCCTCCTCCTCCTCCTCCCCCCCTCCTCCTCCTCCTCCTCCTCCTCCTCCTCCTCCTCCTCCTCCTCCTCCTCCTCCTCCTCCTCAGTTCTCGGGGATGGTGTCGAGAGCTCTTGTCAGGGGCAACGATAGGGGGGGGGGGATAGGCCTAGGGGGGATGCATTGACCCCCAATCGCCCATTGATCGCCGATAGGGGCCCGATGGCCCCAACCTGCCCAGGAAGGTGCGGATTCACGATCGGGGTCCCATCGCCGGTCTATCGGCGATGTATCGCCGATTCCAGGGCGATGCATTCCCCCCCTATGCCGTCCCCCCTTATCGTTGCCCCTCACTCAGCCACCAGGGGGGAGGCCAGCCTCGGTTCTATGATGTTTCAACCTACTTAAGCCTCCATCACCAGGAAGAATTCCGAGCACCAAAACAGAACCGGAACTCGAGGGTTTTCACGTGTCGGGCCCTGGGAGACACTCGTTCGACACTGTTTCGACACTGTTTCGATACTTGCTCAACACTTTTCCGGGTGCTCGAAGTTATTTCTGGGATGTGGTCCTTACGTACGATGGGAGCAACAGAACACCAGGGGGGGACTCCAGCCTCGTTGCCGAGGATCAGACCCAGACCCCCTCGGGTCATGAACACATCACGGCGACTGGAACTGGTTCGCTATGTTCTGCCTTTGGGGGTCCTTGCCAGGCCTCGGGGTCGTCAAAGAACGACTCGGGACGAAAAACCGGACCCGGGAATGCACCCTCGTAGGTCTGTCTTCAGAATGCAATCGCATCGATTAGCGTCTGGTAGGCGCTGAGATTGTGCCGATTCAGCGTCGACGAGCGTCGATTTGGCGCCGATGTCTTGCGGACGTCGCTTTCGCCTCGATGAGCGCCGCCGTAGCGCCGACTCGCAAAGAGCCAACGAGATGGTATGGGAGGCTCCCATGAGCTGCCGCGGGATCTTTTTTTGGATGGGCTCATCGCTGAAGCACACGGCCTGTCGAGAATGGCTGGCGCTGCAGCTAGCAGAATATGAATCAGACTAAGCATATCGGCACGGGCACCAAGGTAGCCACCCACCCCCATAAATTAACCTCCCCCATAAACTAACCTACCCACCGTAAGGAGCCGCCCATTAACCTACCCATAAAATAACCCCCACAAATCGAAACCCACCCACCCACCCACTTACTCACCAAACCCCCCTATAAATTAACCTGCCCACCCCCCAAATTAACCTCCCACGGACAGTAGTTCACCCCCCCCCCATAAAAAATTAACCTCCCAGCTTCAGGAGCTGCCGCGGGAAGGGGGGGAGGCCGTTATTTTCCGGGCTTGCGCCCGCCAGGTTTGGGCCCGAAGTCGTTTTCATCAAACCACGTTTTTCCTAAAGGGAGGTCTGTCCATCCCCGACAGAAGTTAACCTCCCACCTTGAGGAGCTGCCGCGGGAGGGGGAGGGAGGCCGGCCTCGGTGCCGAGGGACCGAGGAGGAGCACGTGCCCGGGGCTCGGGCGGCCGAGGCTCGAGTCTCGCGGGCGAGCTCTCGGCGGCTGTCGGCGGTCCTCGAGGGCCCCGGGGTGCTCTCCAGCGCGCACAGACACACACACACAGGCACACACACAGACACACAGACACGCACACAGACACACACACACAGACACACAGATAGACACATGCACACAGACACACATACACACAGACGCGACAGACACCGACACACACAGGCAGACAGACACACACACACAGACACCGACACACACAGACAGACAGACACACACACACACACCCAGACGCGCGCACGCGCGCACTCGCCGAGAAGCGTGTCGGACGGCCGCCAGAGGCCCGAGCCAGGGGCCACAGGCACAGGCGGGCAAGCGCTGCCGCTGCCCTCGCCTCGCCTCTCGCCTCTGCTCTGCTGCCTCCTCCTCCTCCTCCTCCTCAACTCCTCCTCCTCCTCCTCTCACTCCTCCTCTCCCCTCCTCCTCTCCTCCTCCTCTCCTCCTCCTCCTCCCCCTCCTCCTCCTCCTCCTCCTCTCTCCTCCTCCTCCTCCTGCTCCTCCTCCTCCTCCTCCTCCTCCTTCTCCTCCTCCTCCTCCTCCTCCTCCTCCTCCTCCCTTCCTCCTCTGCTGTGGCCTCCTGGGAGGCCCTCGTGCCGCCAGGGCCGTCTTCGCTCCGAAGCTCTGGTCGTAGCGCTCCCCTGGATCACCGCCCTCCCCCCCTTCCCTCCCCCAGAAACAGAGAAGGGGGAGCAGGAGGAGGGATGGGGGAACGGAGGTGGTGGAAGTGTACATTCTTGGGGCCCGCAGCTGCAGTATCAGTGTGCTATGGTATTCCCCCAAGTGGGCACCACTCGGTGCGTTCCAGGAAAAGGGGGTCGGGAGGGGACTGGCGACGAGGACCACGGCGAGGGAGGAAGAGCAGGAGGAGGTGGAGAATGAGAAGGGCGATGATACGGCATAGAGACATGACGAAGAGGAAAGTGGAGCAGGAAGAGAATGAGGAGGAGGAGGAAAAAGAGGAAGAAGAGAGGAGGAGGAGGAGGAGGAGGAGGAGGAGGAGGAGGAGGAGGAGCAGCGCTGTCTCTACACTCCACGCACACAGTGTAGCATTCAAGTCCAGAGCCTGATGTGGTGCGGCGCGATGTTGCACGGATAAGTCTCCGTGTGCCGGTGGAGAGGGATTGCCAGCGCGATAAGTTGTTCGCTGGATCGTTTTATTTGGACAGCAGTCTCCCCGTGTTCTCTGCCAGTGGTCCCTTCTCACCTCGCCTCTGTCCCTCTGCGTTCTCCCAACCTCGGGCCATCTCTCCCTTCACCGCACTTCCCGTGTGCAGGCTCGCAGCCTGCTCTGCTTCGATGGCGCGGCTGGCGGCGCCGGAGGGACTCTGGGAATCTCATTGGAAGGCGCCCGCGGACGCGGTGGCCTGGAGCTGTGCGAAAAGTTATTCGCAATGAGCATTCCGAGGTCGCACATGGCGAATGGGCTTGAATTTCTGGCGGGGCCCAGATGGCCACCGAGGTCCTACTGCGTACATGCTCGGGTCTTGGCCTGAAATTCGATTAGGATGTGTGCGTCGTTTCAGATTGCAGAGCCGACGGGGAAGTCCCTGTAGGAAGCGTGGTCAGCAACGGATCGTATTCGCGTTCGTCTGCTGCCTGCAAGCGCCGGCGCATGGGCAGACCATCCGGTCCGGCAGGGGAGCCCCGAACCATCGGGGGTAACTCGGGTCAGGGCTAACTCTGGTTCGTTTTCCGGGCATCCGAGCCCGAGTTGCCCCAGGCCCAAGTTAACCCGGATAACTCGGGCGCACAACACCCCCGATCGGGTGGGTGGTCAGGGGGGGTTAAGAAGAGGGGCCCCTCAAGGCCCAACTCTCCCCCCCCAATCAGGTCGCCCCCTATCACCAGCCGCCCGCAATAGAAGTAAGGACCCCCCGAGTGCAATCACTGTTTTGGGGACGTTGGTTGAATCGCTTCGCCCACTCCGCTGGCCCAGATTGCGGACCGCGGTCGACTGGCCGAGTGGTCGTCGGCAGTGCGCAGCTGCAGGGGGCGGCGGCTGCTTTTCCGAGGCGTCGCGTTCGGCACGCTGGGGTGGAGGCAGCTCTCGTGGAGCAGCCTCGTGTCGGATTCGTGTGGGCCCTATGGGGAGTTGCTCGGGGGCATCGCGACCACTGCTTAGGGGACGCTTCTTCGCATGCTCCCACCTCTCGCCCTCTCGCCCTCTCCCCCTCCACCCTCTCCCGCCGCTCTCCCTCCTCCTCCTCCTCCTCCTCCTCCTCCTCCTCCTCCTCCTCCTCCTCCTCCTCCACAATTACTCAATATGAATACTACTCTCCCTCTTCCCCTGATGGCGGCCTGGGAATATTCGACCCCCCCCGCGTATTGTTTTTTACACAGGATTCCCAGGAGTTGGGTTTTAGCCTGCGTTTTTTTTCAAAATGCTGCTCTCGCTGAGGCGCTGGCCTCATTTCTGCTCCCGAATCGTTCCAAATCGTGCTCCCGCTGCAGCGTGGGCCTCATTTTCGGATCGGTGTTTTGCCTCCGTCGTTCAGGATGGCGTTCTCGCCCCAGCGCGGGCCTCTTTCTCGCGCGCCCATCCGCCCGCCACCACCGCGCCGCACCACGCCCCGCCCCGCCGCACGCACACCCACCGCCACTTCCACCCACCAACGCACGCACGCACGCACGCGCACCACCACCGCGCACCGCCACCACCACCGCATTACCCCACCCACCACCACCACGCTACACCGCGTCACACCACATCACACGCGCGCACACACAGACACGCACGCACGCACGCACGCACGCACGCACGCACACGCACGCACACGCACGCACACCACACGCACACACGCACACGCACACGCACACGCACACGCACACGCACACGCACACGCACACGCACACGCACACGCACACGCACACGCACACGCACACGCACACGCACACGCACACGCACACGCACACGCACACGCACACGCACACGCACACGCACACGCACACGCACACGCACACGCACACGCACACGCACACGCACACGCACACACACACACACACTCACACACACATACACACGCACACACACACACACACGCGCACACACAGACACACACACACACACACCACCACCGCCACCACAACCACCGCCATCACGCACGTACGCACCTGGCACACCACCAAACCACCAAGACGCCACACCACGTCACACCACAGCACACGCGCACACACGCACACACACACATACACACCACCACCACCACCACAACAACCACAACCACGCACACACGCACGCACGCACGCGCACCACCACCCATTACGCACACGCGCGCGGAGCCACAGGTCCACTACGACACGCGTCCGCGGATAGAGAAAATCAGCGCCATGGTACGGGATGGGAGGGAGGGGTAGGATGTCAGATGTTGACGCGAGCGCACCTAACTTGTCCATCCCCCCTCCCCCTCCCGCCTCCCCCCCCCTCTTCCTCCTCCTCGTCGCTCACCATCTTAGAGCACGACCCTTGCTACTACGCGGCGACGGCGCCGATTTTGAGATATGCGAAAGAGGTCTGGCTCACCAGTACTAGGCAGCACGCGTTTTCGATCCCCTTCCCGGTTCTGAGGGCGTCCTGGGACTCGGCCTTTGGAGGTCCTCCGATCTCTTGGAAGAAAGTGTCTGGACCTCTTTCGGCGGTTAGGGCTTCCCTGTCAAGGATCGGGTGGAACATGATCGATTTCACCACCATTGTCACGGACCAGCAGGTGTCCGTAGGTCTGACCAACACCTCCCCCAGGATGCTCAAAAGGTTTTTGAGGGAAGGAGTCATTCGTCACCTTCAGAAGCTGTCGGGGGCCGCTCTGGGGATGGGCGCAGACAGGGCATGTTACGACATTGTCCTCCAGGAACTTCAGAAGAATAAGTGGTCTAATTTCGAAAAGGGTTGTATTTTCCCAGTCTCGTATGTGGAGCTGGCTGGACTAAGACCAGGGCCACAGATGCGGGCTACTTGCTTGCTGACAATCTCTGTCCCATGTGCGGTGCTGCGGAAGATACTATGCATCACCGTCTGTGGAAGTGTCCGGCTGTTAGTGAGCAGCGGCTAGATGTAGTGGACGATGAGTTGATCGCCCGCGCTGGTGCCATCACTCCCGACAGCCCAGATTGGAATCTGTTCACCAAGGGCATCTTTCAGCATCTTGGCGAGTCTGTACCAGGGCCAGTGGCTGGAGGCGGTCTGTCGGTGCAGTGGGTAGACGACCCAGACAACACTTCTGTGAACATCCTAGGGCACATATTCTTCGACGGGTCAGGTCTCAAGAGCCCCATCAAGGAGATGTCTAGGGCCGGTTGGGGGGCGGCGGTCTACGACGATCAACGGCAGCTTTTGTGCACTCTTTCGGGTCCCGTTCCCAGTTTCCCTCCCCAAACCTCCCAGGCTGGTGAGTTTTGCGGTTTAGGGGCCACCGATGAGCTCCTTTGTGGGCCCTCGACGGGTTACTCCGATTGTGCCAATGTGGTCCTCGCGTTTAACCCCCCTGCTCCCGTGCAGGTCTCTTATAAGAAGCTCTACGCGGGAGCCCGTTTAAACATGCCGAATAGCATGTATTCACAAGTCCACAAAGTAAAGGCTCATGTTGTGGACGATGGCTCGCTTTCAGCCGACGGGCTTTTCTATAAGCAGGGCAATGATCAGGCGGATAAGGCGGCCAAGAGAGGTGCTTGGAGCCATCACAGGGCTGCACCTAACGAGTTGCAGGCGATCGACGATAAAGTCGCGGTTGCCCGCAAGGTCTGTGCCTTGGCCGCCCGCCTGATGCCTCTCTGGCCGAGACTTGATCTCGATGGCGTGCCTCGGACTCCTCATCCTCCCCGCCCCAATGCGTCGAATTCGACTGGTGTTTGTCACGAGTGGCTGTGGTGCCGCTCGTTTTGGAGATGCCAGCGCTGTTTGAAGAGCCGGCGTTGTGAGCAGAAGCCTCCGATCGAGAACTGTTCTGGTGAGCTGCCCGTTGTTGCCCTCGCGATTGGGCAGCGTAAGCACTCGCTTAAGGTCTTCTCCTGCACCGACGGTACGTTGCTATACGCCTGCTCCAGATGCAAGGCATATACAACAGGAGGCCAGTTCCGCAATCTTGCCAAATATTGCCTTACAGATGCTGATTTCAGACGTAAGAAAGCGATTTCCAATTTTGCCGCTTCAGCTTGGAATAAGCTTCTGAAGGGCAAGCATCCCAAATTGGACCACGTACAGGTGGTGCCATTCAACTTTTTGCTCGCTTGATTGTGGGCAGTGCAGCGCTGGTGAAAAACAACCTTTTCCTCCTCCTCCTCCCCCCTCCTCCTCCTCCTCCTCCTCGCCCTCCTCCTTCCTCCTCCTCCTCGCCCTCCTCGCGAGTGTCTGCCCCGACGCCCTCCTCGCGAACGCCTGCCGCCGACGCCCTCCTCGCGCCATGGCGCGTGGCCTCGGCCGCGAGGCCTCGGCCGTCGGGGGGGCGCCCCTTTGAGGACGCCAGTGTTAGGCCGGGCGTGCCCCCCTACACACGGATGTTGGACGAAGAATACAAAGTGGTGATTCTGACATCTTCGAACATAGGCAGAAGTAGTCGACCAAGTTGCCTCCGACCATCTGTTGATTATTCGTTGGGCATTCCTCATGTAGGGCGCCCCTCCGAGGACGCCAGTGTTAGGCCAGGCATGTCCCCCAACACGCGGATGTTGGACGATCAGAACTAGTCGACCTCATAGCCCCTCGACCATCTCTTGATTATTTGTTGAGCATTCCTCATGTAGGGCGCCCCTTCGAGGACGCCAGTGTTAGGCCAGGCATGCCCCACTACACGTGGATGTTGGACGAAAACTTACAAAATTGTTTTTTGGGGAGGAAAAGGAAGATCGTCGCCAAAGGGAGGGTTAGAAGTCGGATGGAGGGGCAGCGGCACCACTCGGAGGAGATCCAAGATGGTGCAAGCATGAACTTGTGGAGGCCCGCTCGGACTTCTCGGACCTGGGACCTCGCCAGGTGGTGACGAAGAAATTTGGGCTCCAATGGCCAACCCCGCAACACATGCAGATATGTAAATATGTGTACGTACATGCTTGTGTACATACATACACGCATGCATGCATACATACATACAGCCATACATACATTCAAACATACATACATTAGGTCATACGTATACACACAAACACACATGCAGACATGCATATATCAATCCATCCACACATACGTACGTACATGCATGCACACCTGCACCCGTACATACACACATGCACACATACATACATGCATACACATGACCACACATACTTCCTTACATGCATGTTTACAGACATACATTACATTCAAACATGCAAACACACACGTGCATACATGCGTACACACATACACACATACATACATACCCACCTACATACGGGAATACATTCATACATAAATACCTACGCCCATGCACACACACGCATTCGCACATACATACATACATACATGCATGCACACATACATTTTTGCACACATCAAATTACATACATACATACCTACCTACATACATGCATACATAGATACATGCATATATACATGCATGCATGCATGCATATATATATATACATACAAACATACATACATACAGACACACATACACACATACATACATGCATGCATGCATACATACAAATACACGCATGCATCCACGCATACATACATACATACCTACTTACATACATACATACATACTTACTTACTCACATACATCGAGAGATTGATACATACAGATATCTGTGTCTATATATATATATATAGATCGATTGCCAGCAGGAGTGCCAGGACGTCGGCGCCACAGGCAGTGGATATGTCGGCTCGCACCCTCAGCCCTGCCTCCTTCACCCTTGGAAGGAGCCCCCCCCCGCGCAGGTGGCCGCCGACAGCCTGGCCCGGTCCCTGCTGCCCGGCAGCGGCGACCCTGGCTCCATGGACGCGCCGCCGTGGGAGCCAGCCCCCCCGCCATGCCCGGGCGGGCGGAGCAAGGCACGTGAATCGTGCGCTGCTTCATGAAGGGGACGAAGACTGACATCAACATACATGAGAGCTCGGAGGTCCGCGCGGATGTCTCGGATCGGCGCTGGCCCCCCCTGGCGGCGCCCCCGGCGCCGCCCCTGGCGCGCTCCGCTCGCCAGGGGGGGGGGGCGGTCCAGCGCGGATCCGAGACATCCGCGTGGACCTCCGACTTTTTATGTTTATGCCATTGTGTGTTTTCCTACCCCTGGCTGTGTCTGCGCGGGCGGAGAAGGGCACGTGAGTGAGGGGGCGATACACGGTGAGGGGAAGGAGCGTGCACCCTTCGTGTCCTTTTTGGTCCCTAGGTGAACCCTCCAGGGTTCCCTGAGCGTAAAAATTTGCACCTTTCTTCAGCCCCCATTGATCGCCCGAGTGAGACTCGCAGCTACGGGTCCCAAGGCATCCAGCACTTTGAACACCTGTTAACCAGCGTGGACCCCGAACAGGGATATGATGTGCATGCGATGTTGTGCAAGCTGTGCTGTGTACATTTTTCGTTGTGAGCTATGTGCTGCAATCTATCTGGTGTAAGCTATGTGATGGAAGGTGTGCTGTGTAAGCTGTGTGGTGCGAACTAGATGGTATGAGCTATGTTGTGAAACCTCTGATGATGCTTCGCGGATCCCCACAAGCCCATCCACACACGAGACCAGGCGAGCTGCCCTGATCAGCGATATGTAGCAGTGTGCGGACGACGATGACGAGGAAGACGACGACGACAACGACGACGACGAAAAAGTCAGTATCTAGTTCTTTGCGATTGTTCGCTCCGGGAGCGTCTCGGAGGCCTGTTGGCTCCGTCGCGGAGCCCTGGGGTCATCTTGGAGGCCTTTTGGGCACCCTTTAAGTTCTCTCTTTGAGGGCTTCTGGGGCCCTCTTGGGTCCCTCTTGAGGATTTCTTGGGCCATCGTGGAGCCGTCTAGCGATCCCACGGGCTAATTGGAACTGAGACGGCGAGACGGCAAACGTCACAGACTTCTTTTAGGTCCCGGGCGGATTTGGGTTGCTTGTGGACCTCCGTGGGAGGCTCGGAGGGGACGGGGAGCCGCCTCGGGGCGGTCTTGGGGCCTCCTGAAGGAAGCGATATTGAACCGTGTTTGGATATCTTGAGCGATCTTGGAGGCCATCTTGGGCTCCCTGGGGCCATCTTGGAGCCATCCCTGGGGTTCCCTTGGCCATCGTGGACGCTGCAACTCCTCGCGGAACGCCACCGCCAAACCCAGGGGGATGGGGGAGGGGGTAAGGGAACCCCATTCCCGAAGGACAATTTTTTATCACAATAACAACTACGACTACGACTACGACGACTACGACTAATACTACTACTACTACCACTACTACTACTACTACTACTACTACTACTACTACTACTACTACTACTACTACTACTACTACGACTACGACTACTACTACGACTACTATACTACTACTACTACTACTACTACTACTACGACTACTACTAATACTACGACTACTACTACTACGACTACGACTACGACTACGACTACTACTACTACTACTGCTACTACTACTACTACTACTACTACGACTACTACTACTACTATTACTACTACTACTACTACTACTACTACTACTACTACTACTGCTACTGCTACTACTGCTGCTACTACTACTACGACCACTGCTACTAGTACTAGTACTGATACTACTACGACCACGGCTAATGTTGCTACTATTGCTTCTACTAGTACTACTACTACTACTACTACTACTACTACTACGACTACTACTACTACTCCTACTACTACTACTACTACTGTTACTACTACGACTACTACTACTGCTACTACTACTACTACTACTACCACTACTACCGCTACTACTGCTACTGCTACTACGACTACGGCTCCGTGAACTATTACGACTACTGCTATCATTACTACTACTACTACTACTACTACTCGTGCCAAGACTTCTACGACTACCCTTACTTTTAATCGTACTGCTACTACTACGGCGACTACTACTTTTATTACTACTACCACTACTACTGCTACTGCTACTACTACTACTAGTGCTGAGACTAGCACTACTACTACTACTGCTACTACTACTACTACTACTACTACTACTACTGCTACTAGTACGGCGACACCTGCGAAGACGTAGTTGTACTACTACACTTACTTATAATCCCATTACCATTACTACACAAAACTATTGCCACTACTTCCACCTCTCTTACTTGTGCTACGAATACGATTAACTATCATTAATACTAGTACCACTATTACTATTATTCTTACTACTACTATTACTGCTATTCCTACTATTACAATTACAGTTACTATTACAACTACTACTATGACTGCTACTTCTACTGCTACCTACTACTGCTACCTACTACTACCTATTGCTACTACTCCTACTACTACTAGTACTACTACTGCTACTACTACTAGTACTACTGCAACTAGTACTGCTACTGTTGCGGCCACAACCACTACTACCACTACTACTACTCCATCTGCTACTATTATTACGACGGCAACAACAACAACTACTACTACTACTACTACTACTACTATAACTACGGCTACCGCAGCCACTACGACTGCGAGCGCGGCTACTGCTACGACTCGTATTTTGTACTACTACTTCTACGCGTTCTACTGGGATAATTGTTTCTAGTACTACAGGTACGACTGCGACTTCGACTGCAGCTTATACGACCATTGTCGTTACCAGTGCAATATGTGAATAATTTGCTTCACCTGCTACTACTATTGTTTCTCCCACGGCCTCTTGGATTACGATTGCCCCTGCCATTATTTCCATCACGTTACCACCACTACCACTACATGCAGTTACTGTTGTTACTGTTAATACTCCTGCTGCTATATGTGCGACGACGAGTGCGATTTCGACCGCGACGATTGCACCTGCTATTTTTTCGACTACTACGACGACTACTACTACTACTACTACTACTACTACTACGACTACTACTACTACTACTACTACGGCGACGACTGCTACGACTTCTACTACTGCTAGTACGACTACGTCTACCCCTACTACTACCACGACTGGTTTACCTACTACTGCTACTACTTCTGTTAGTTGGACTACTATTACTTCTACTGCTACTAATATTACTACTAGTACGACTACGTCTACGACTTCTACTGCTACCATTAGTATTGTCATTGCGTCTACTACAACCCGTGTTTTTCAATCCCAGCTATTACTGCTCTTACTGTTGCCGCTACCCTGATCATCCTTACGACTTGTACTACGACTTGTATTGCTACTCTCTTGCTTCCATTGCCAATGTTATTGGTGGTACTGGCATTCCTACTAGTATTAGTACTAGTACAATTATTACATCTACGACTACGACTACTGCTACTGTTGCTACTGCATTTAGTAGTTGCCAGTCTAGTAGTAGTAGTAGTAGTAGTAGTAGTAGTAGTAGTAGTAGTAGAAGTAATACTATGCGTGCGACTACTTCCAACAGTATGTTTACGGCTATTGCGATTCTCGCGAATACTTTTGACACTACGACGACTACTACTACAATTGCTACCACTACGACGACCACTACCCGCATTTCCCATCAAGGCTTGTATTAGTAGTACTACCGCTACTATGCTGACAACGATTACAACTACCATTACCCATACCACGAGTACTATTACTACGTCTGCTACTACTACTACTACTACTACTACTACTACTACTACTACTACTACTACTACTACTACTACTACGACTGCTACTACTATCACGATCGTAACTTCCAGTGTCACTACTACAACAATGTTTATTATTACTGTTACTACTACGACAACTTCTGCGACGACTACTTCTATTTGTATTTTTTCTCAACCCTCCTTGGTTGGGTATTCGTTTTGAATAGAGCAGTGTGGTCGCGTCCCGTCTCCCGCCTCCCGCCTCTTCCTGTCTTGCCCGCGGGGGGCTGCGATCTGTGAAACTGTCGCCATTTTCGAGGCCTGCTGGGGGGCCCAGCACAGTGAGGGCCACGCGCGGATTCAAATTAGACCTCGCCATCCCTGGGGGGCTGCGATCTGTGAAACTGTCGCCATTTTCGAGGCCTGCTGGGGGGCCCAGCACAGTGAGGGCCACGGGCGGATTCAAATTAGACCTCGCCATCCCTGGGGGGCTGCGATCTGTGAAACTGTCGCCATTTTCGAGGCCTGCTGGGGGGCCCAGCACAGTGAGGGCCACGCGCGGATTCAAATTAGACCTCGCCATCCCTGGGGGGCTGCGATCTGCGAAACTGTCGCCATTTTCGAGGCTGCTGGGGGGCCCAGCACAGTGGGGGGACCTCGCCATCCCTGGGGGGCTGCGATCTGCGAAACTGTCGAGGGCCACGCGCAGATTCAAATTAGACCTCGCCATCCCTGGGGGGCTGCGATCTGCGAAACTGTCGCCATTTTCGAGGCCTGCTGGGGGGCCCAGCACAGTGAGGGCCACGCGCGGATTCAAATTAGACCTCGCCATCCCTGGGGGGCTGCGATCTGCGAAACTGTCGCCATTTTCGAGGCCTGCTGGGGGGCCCAGCACAGTGAGGGCCACGCGCGGATTCAAATTAGACCTCGCCATCCCTGGGGGGCTGCGATCTGCGAAACTGTCGGAGGCCTGCTGCGATCTGCGATTAGACCTGTCCCGCTGCATCTTCGAGGCCTGCTGGGGGGCCCAGCACAGTGAGGGCCACGCGCGGATTCAAATTAGACCTCGCCATCCCTGGGGGGCTGCGATCTGCGAAACTGTCGCCATTTTCGAGGCCTGCTGGGGGGCCCAGCACAGTGAGGGCCACGCGCGGATTCAAATTAGACCTCGCCATCCCTGGGGGGCTGCGATCTGCGAAACTGTCGCCATTTTCGAGGCCTGCTGGGGGGCCCAGCACAGTGAGGGCCACGCGCGGATTCAAATTAGACCTCGCCATCCCTGGGGGGCTGCGATCTGCGAAACTGTCGCCATTTTCGAGGCCTGCTGGGGGGCCCAGCACAGTGAGGGCCACGCGCGGATTCAAATTAGACCTCGCCATCCCTGGGGGGCTGCGATCTGCGAAACTGCCGCCATTTTCGAGGCCTGCTGGGGGGCCCAGCACAGTGAGGGCCACGGGCAGATTCAAATGAGACCTCGCCATCCTGCGATCTGTGAACCTGTCGCCACTTTCGAGGCCTGCTGTGATCCCCGTTTTCGAAGTGGCTAGGAGTGCTCAGGAATTGTAAATCATCAGTTTTATGAAGGCCTTTTCCTGTAGCCAGTGTCCTGCGAGTCTCCCGAATTCCGTCTGCAGACAGATGTAACCCTCGCTCCGTCATCGCCCCCTTTATAAAGTATCCTAAACTATTTGCGCCCCGCTTTTCCGCAGGGGTTGGGTACGTCGCCAGGGGAATTCATACGCTGACTCGTAATAGTATTATTACTACTACTACTACTGTTACTACTACTACTTTTACTACTACTACTTTTTCTACTACTACTACTACTACTACTACTACTACTACTACTACTACTACTACTACTACTACTACTACTACGACGGCGACGACGACGACTACTACTACTTCTACTCCTACCATGGGTTTTACTACTACTACGACTACTACCACGATTACGACTACGACGACGACGATGACTATTATTCTTACTACTTCTACTACTACTGCTACTACTACTAGTACTACTATTACGACGACGACTACTACTACTGCTACTCCTACTATGGCTATTACTACTACTACGACTACTACCACGACGACGACGACGACGACGACGACGACTACTATTACTACTACTACAACTACTATTACTACTACTACTACTACTACTACTACTACTACTACTACTACTACTACTACTACTACTACTACTACGACTACCTACTACTACTACTACTACTACTACTACTACTACTACTACTACTACTACTACTACTACTACTACTACTACTACTACTACTACTACTACTACTACTACTACTACTACTACTACTACTACTACTACTACTACTACTACTACTACTACTACTACTACTACTACTACTACTACTACTACTACTACTTATACTACTACTACTACTACTACTACTACTACTACTACTACTACTACTACTACTACTACTACTACTACGACTACTACTACTACTACTACTACTACTACTACTACTACTACTACTACTACTACTACTACGACGCTACTACTACTACTACTACTACTACTACTACTACTACTACTACTACTTCCACCACTATTAGTTGGATTTGAATTGCTTTTATGAAGGATATTGGGGGATCCTCCGTAATTGCTTGAAATCCTTTATTCAATCGCTTCGCTCACTCCGCCGGCCCATGTTGCATGATAGCTACTGCTTCGCCGTGGGCCCGGGGCCATTGTGGCGCCGCCGAGGAGGAAGAAGATGAGGATGGGGAAGGGGAGGGGAGGAGGAGGAGAGGATGAGAAGGAGATGAGGAGGATGAAGATAAGTAGGAGGAGGAGGAGGAAGAGGAAGGGGCGGAGGAGGAAGCCTCTCGTTGGCATCTTGTGTTGCTCTTGGGGCCAAACAGGGTCGTCGTCAAGATGCTTCTCTGGGAGGCCTCTTGGGGTCTTTTCAGAAGCCGTTCGAGGGCGCCTGGGAGGCATTTTTGAAGTCTTCTGGGGGGCCTCCTGGGGGCCTCCTGGGACCTCTTGGGGGCCTCTTGGCGGCATCTTGGGGCCTCTTTGGGGCCTCTCGGGGCCTCCTGGGGCCCTCTTGGGGCGGAAGGCTCGAGGTTTTGGTTCGTGGTCCCCCTCTTGGGCCCCTCTTGGGGCCGTCTTGGGGCCGTCTTGGGCCGTCTTGGGCGCCTCTTGGGTCGTCTCGGGGCCCTCTTGGGCCCTCTTGGGGCCCTCGTGGAAGCCTCTTGGCCCGTCTTGGGGTGCTCTTGGGGGCCTCCTGGGCCGTCTTGGAGCATCGGATGGCCGAAAAGGGGACAAGGCCCAAATTCTTTCAAAACCATCGTAAAATGTCTGATTTGGGCCTCTCAGGGCCCTCTTGTGAGGCCTCTTGGAGGCCACTTGGAGGCCTCTTGGGCCGTCTTGAGGTCATCATCGGCGTCTTGGAGCGCTCTTTAGGCGTCTCGGGGGCCCTTTGGGCAGTCTTGGGGGCCTCTTGGGGCACTCTTGGCGCGCTCTGGGGGTCCTGAGAAGCCACACCCAGGAGGAAAACCATCTCTGAGTAGCAGTGGTCGGGCGGCGGTCGGGGTACTTTTCGCCGGGGGACCCCCAGGGGCCGCCCCGCGCGCGCGAACTAGAAGTATTGTTTAGCAGTTACCGGAGATCTTAGCACGCCTTTGGCCCGTTGGGCCGGCGAATTATCGTTAGGGATCTCAAGGAATCGTTCGGACATCTTTCGGAACCTTGAGGAATCGTCAGGAACCGTGCGGCCTCCAGATGAAGCCTGAGGATTCCTTTGGATTCCAAGGGGGTTCTGAGGAACACATGAGATTCTGAAGCGGTCCAAAGGAGTGTTGAGGATTCCGGCGGAGTCCGAGGACCCCTTGAGGAGTTGGTGTAATTATTCAAAAGACCGTTGAGGGTTCTCATCGGGCTTTCAAAATCCCATTGATTTGTACGGAACCTGAAAGATCCTGCGGCATCGTGGAGTGTCCTACCGTCGAGGGATCACGGTCACGGTCGAGCTGAAGTACATGTATTTTGCAGAGGTCAGGGTCGAGGTGGCGAACCGTCGGCGATCTGGCGGAGCGCAAGGGTTTTTCGTATGTGTTTGTGTTTGCTGTTCAAATTTCCGGCGGGAGGCATAGGGCGCTCCCGCATCCAGGAACGCTCTCATGATCCCTCCTTCCATCGAACCCTTATCGACGCGTCCCACCACGTCGCAACCACCAGTCCGAAGTGGTCGGCGATGGGTCCGAAGTGGTTGCGATCGGTCGTGCCCCCCCCCCCCCCCCCTCCCCCTGGCAGGGGAAGCGCGCGGATTGGAGTGCCAGTGGCCCGTGGCCCGGGGCCACGCCTGTTGCGTGACCCCCCCCCTGCAGCTGGGTCTTTCCTCCGCGCAACGATTCGGCGCACCACTCTCTGGTGCCTGCGGCCGCCTGCGCACGTCCCCGTGGCGTGCACTCTCGATGCGTGAGGTTTGCTCCTCCCGCGGCCCCTGTCCTCATGGGCTTGTTTTCCAGTAGCACCACCATACATCGGAGGGGGGGAGGAGGAGGAGGAGGAGGAGGAGGAGGAGGAGGAGGAGGAGGAGGAGGAGGAGGAGGAGGAGGAAGGGAAGGAGGAGGAGGAGGACCCCCTCCCCCTCCTACTTATGATCGTGGTGGTAAACAAGCCCACCATATCCGCTGGCGCCCTCTTTCTTTTGTTGCCTGGCGTGCTTCAGACCAGGCGCGGCCCGCTGGCTGAGCAAGCGGTGTGGTGTCCCCCCTTGCGGTGCAGACTTGCACGCCGCGATCGTCCTGTGCTCGTGCCCTCCTGACGCCGTCGGTGGCCCACATCGTGGCCTCTAACTCTGGGACTCCTGGTGCGGGCAAGCTTTCTATCCATATCCAATGCGCCTTGGACTCTCTGGGAAGGGGCGCGCCGCAAGGCCGAGGCGCCCGGGATGTGGGTAAAGATCGAGGCCCCAGGGGCCAGATGATTATCCGTGTCCAGTGCTCGTCGTGTCTCTGGGGCAGGGAGCCCGAAGCTCGAAGCCGCAATGGCTGTGGACAGAAGCCTCGCCCGCTCGTGGTGCCTCGTCCCGGCCCCTGTCTCGGTGGCCAGGGTCTCTCCGTGTCCGGGTTGCTCTGGCTCGAGCTGTGTGGGGTACCATGTGAGTTGCTTCGGCGCCCCAGTCACCTGCTGGGCGCTGGCGTGCCACTGGCGTAAGCATGACATACGCCATTGCTGCTCGCGTGGACCAGAATTCTGATGACGAGAGCCGGCCAGCCGACACTGCGGCAGGGATTCCTCTGTGGAAGCTGACCTTGGTAGCCCTGCCTGTGCTGACTGTTCAGGCGTTCTGGGTGTCCCTGATGCCGTGCAGCGCCCCGTACTTGCTGCGCCTTGGGCTGAGTACGTCTATGGCCACGCTGAACAATCTGGCAGGCCCCATCACAGGATTCTTCACAGGTCCGCTCGTGGGTGCTGTGTCCGATTCGTTGACCTCCCCGTTTGGGCGGCGTAGGCCTGTGATCGCGGTGGGGCTCGCCCTCACGTGGGTGGCGGGCGTCCTCTTCGCCCTGGCCGAGCACGTCCTGCCGGCTAGCACCGCCCCACTGATGGCCGCTCCCATGTTCTGGGTGTTGGACGTCACGATCAACATATTACAGGCTCGGGGGACAAAAACTGAGTATCAATGAGACGCCGCCGTGGGAACCTGTCAGCGTGTTGCTGCTGGAGAAACGCCGGGCTGACGGGCTCCCAGGAGCAGCGTGTCATCGATAGTCATCCTTTTCCCCCCGGCAGGCACCGCATCGCGCGCTGGTTGCAGACCTCTCCTCTGACGCACAGCAAGTCCCGATGCAAACCATGATCGTGTGTATGCAGGCTGCCGGAACACTGACCGGTTTCTCAATCATGAGTATCTGGTTGCCTGCGGCAGCCCCGGCACCGTGCCAGCGTGGCAGCGCAGCAGGGATGAGTTTGAGTTCAAAGCCAGTTCCAGTTGAGTATCTTGTTTGGACTGGCGCGGGGCTCCATTACCCCCTCCTTCTCGTCCTTCTCGCTCCCCACCTCCTCTCCCGTCTTGAAAGCATCTTGGACGCTTACTTGAATCGCTTCTCGAGCCTCTTGGAGGCATCTCGAGCCCCTCTTGGGCACCGCTTGTTGGCTTGTCCGGGGACCCGTCGGGGGTCTCGGTGCATTCTTGGGCGCAATGGTTCCAGCGAGCTCTTCCGATGTGGTCACGATGACCCACCTCAGGGACATCTCGGCGTGTCTTGGGGCTGTCTGGGAGCCTTCTCGGGGCGGTCTGGAGCCGTCTTGGGGTCCTTGGTCGCTTTTCATGCCTTTGACAACCTTGGGACCATATTGGAGCCGTCTTGTGAGCTTTTTGAGGGGCTCTCTGACGCTCCCTCCCAGCGACCTGGAAGCCGAAGACGTTAATCTTTGACGAGCGTACATTGGTTTCGGCGTCTCTTGTGGACATCTTGCGGCCTCTTGCGGCCTGTCGGGGGGATCGTCCAGCCTTGGGTCATCGTTGGGCTGTCTTCGGGGCACCTTGCAGCCAGCTCGGAGCCATCTTTGAGTTGTCAAGAGGCTGAGAAGATCGCAAGACACCACATTAAGGGGTCACGATTTTGCGCGCATTCGCATTTCAAGAGAGGGGCCGCCCCTGTAACAAGAACAGGCCTGACCAGACAACTTACATGCGCTCCAGCACTACCGCAACGTGCCGAGGGCACGGTGGTGGATCTTCGATGTGCCTGCCGAGCACATGCTGGAGTTGGTCGTGCTCGTCTGCCTGCTCAACACCTTCGCCGTGGCCGTCCAGTTCAGCGTCGCCGAGGAGAGGCCCGTGGCCAAGGGGGCGCAGAGCGGCGTGGACGTGCGCGGCCGGGTACTGGCCCCGGTGCTCGACGTCCTCGAGGCCGCGAAGGGCAGCTCCTTCCTCTTCCGCCACCTGGCGGCAGTGCAGTGCCTGATCGCCGTTGGAGGCGTGACCTCACGGGCGGGGGAGAGGCAAGCGAAGCTCTCCGACGATGTGGTTCTTGTTGTTTGCTCTGGGTGTGTTGTTCTCCGGCGTTAGGCCATCACGGAGGGATCCGTGGCGGAAAACTGGCCAGGGGAAGCGGTCGGGACCTCCTAGGGCAGCGGATGGGAATATCAGATGGGCGGATGCCAGGGAGGCCGCGACCACTGGGCTGAGGGAGCTCCGCGGTCCAGCTGTGGCGGTTGCCTTCTCGATCGAGGGACAACATCGGCATCAGCATCACTTTGTCGGAGGTCCACCTGGAGTCCTTGGATCGGCGTTGGGGCCCCCTGGCGGCGCCTCCGGCGTCGCCCAAAGGCGCGCAGCCGCGCGCCAGGGAGGCGGGTCGAGCGCCTATCCAAGGAGTCCGCGCAGGTCGTTGAGAAAGCGTGCTTGCTGTCTGCAGTTTTGACTGCTCCTCTCTCCCAGACACCCAGCGTCTCCGCTCTCTGGATGTGCGGGCCCCCGACCTCTCGACCGCGCTTCCCTGGGACCGGCTCTCCATGCCGAGTCGTTCTGTGGCGGTGCGGAGGCCCGGCAGGGGCCCTGAGAGGCCGAATGCTTCTTTTGTGTTGGTTGCTCTTGTCTCTGTTTCCTGCCTGTTCTTGCCTTTTGCTATCTTTTGTTGAAGCATAGAGTGTCGTTTTCCATACGTGCTCCGCGCCCGGATCATGTCGTAAAGATGCAGGGGTTACAACGATGAGCTCGTGCACAGATCTATTCAGAAACATGAGCCGTGCATTAAAATCACATATGTTCAAACATCCGATGCATCAAAAGCTGCCCTGTGGCCTTCGCCCCGAGCTTTGCCCGAGGCGCCCGAGGCGCCCGAGGCCCCGGCCTTCCGCCCCCGATAGAGAGGCAGCACCTGGGGCCTCTACGCCGGGCAGTGGTTCGGCGTCTGCGTCTACCGGGGCGACCCGCGCGCGCCGCCGGGCGCGGCCGGCCACGACGCCTACGCGGCCGGGCTGAGGCGGGGCGGGGCAGCGGCAGGGGGGAAGCGGTGGCGAAGCGTCCTGGCTCGCCAAAATCAGCGAGCGGAGAACGGTATAAGATAGACTTTTTCGCTGTCGGGGGCGCCTGTCCCTGGGCGGCAGGGGGGAAGCGGTGGCGAAGCTCAGAGCCCCGAGTCATCCGGGGTAGCTCGGGTCAGGGATACCTCGGGTTCCTTGTTCGGGAGTCCAGACCCGAGTTGCCCCGGACCCGAGTTACCCCGGATAACTCGGGCGTCCAGAGCCCCGAGTCATCAGGGGTAACTCGGGTCAGGGATACCTCGGGTTCCTTTTTCGGGAGTCCAAACCCGAGTTACCCCGGACCCGAGTTACCCCGGATAACTCGGGCGTCCAGAGCCCCGAATCATCAGGGGTAACTCGGGTCACTGAGATCGGCGGCCCGCTTACTAAGTGGTTAGACCACTTCTAAGTGGTTAGCCGCCCACTTAGGCCACTTAGCCTAAGTAGGTTCTAAGTACTTAGCCTAAGTAGGTTAGCAAGGACTTAGCCTAAGTAGGCTAAGTGGGTTAGCGCCCCAACTTAAGCACTTAGCCTGAGTCGGCTAAGGGGGCCAGGGGAGACAACATAAGGGGCTGGGCGCGGAGTTATAAGCCCGCTCGCAGAGTTTATCTACCCCCCACGGGTTATCCCGAACGCGGGCCGCCGATCTCAGTAAGGGGAGGAGGCGGAAGAAGACGAGGGGGAGCAGCGCGAGGAGGAGGAGCAGGAGGAGCAAGAGGGGTCGAGAAGGGAAGAGGAGGAGGAGGAGGAGGAGAAGGAGGAGGAGGAGGCGGAGGCAGAGGAGGAGGAGTTGGAAGGGAGGAAAAGGCAGAGGGGGCAGGCGGCAAACGGCCGAAAGGCTTCCTTGAATTGGCAACCTTTACCATCGAACTCCCACGCATCATTGTCCGTGCCTCAACCTCGCAGGTATGATCACCTGCGCCACTGAGCCTTTGGAAGCAACCCCAGCTATACAAGGCTCAATGAGGCACTCGGTCGGCAACAAACGAGGGGCATTGTTGACACGGCAGCACACGATGTGACCCTTGGTGTCCGAGACATCCCAAGGCGAGATGCATGAGAAAAGGTCACCGTCCACTTTCGAGTGGAACCACAAGCGGCCAAAAGAGACAAGGCTGTCGTTGCTACCATTGTAGCACACAACATCATTCATCTGGATCACACGGCCATGCACATATGCAGCGCGCCCTGACACCACCTCGGCGCCTGGTCGGACATGCATGACAGAGCAGATGGCCTGCAGCATCTTCTTGCTCGCGGGCCTAGGCTCGAGAAGGTCTATGCCCTCGAGCTCGTACTTGAGCTCGAAAAGGTGCTGGCACGTGATCTCTTCGATCAAGCTGCGCTCGAATGATGTAGTGTTCATGCGCTCGTTTGCGAACCTCTTAGGCGTGCGGTGCTTACGTTCCATGAGGAACGTCGAAAGTAAGAGGCCGTGCCGATGCAATTGCGACGGCAGGTGCATGTTAAAATGGCTCTTCGGCTTCCAGAGCTTTGTGCCCCAGTAGGCCTGCTGAGCTGTGTAGTGGGCTACGATCGCATTCATCAGCTGTGCAGGCGTGACCACTCCTGCGTTGACAATCGAGAGCAGGTCGAGCACATTGCAAAGCTTCACCATGCTATCCACTGCACCATTGAACCTCGGAGCTTTCTTGAGCACCACGTCCAGCATGTACTTCCTGATCACGGGGGCGGCTGACATGTACTCGCTGGCGCTGCCAGACGCCTCATGTGAAGGGACCTTCTTACACAGACCCTTCCCGCTCGCGTAGCCGCCTGGCCACTCCCAAAGTTTGAAGTACTCGTGCAGTGTTGCGCCTCCGAGGTTCTCTGCCGCGAGCAAGTCCAGCACGGCATCCAGCTCGACGATGAACACTCCGCCCACGAGGTAGTTGTGCATCCAGTCGTACGCCCAGACGTCCGCGACCTGGATCGCGAGATCCTTGTCCTGCAGCAGGGACTCGGGGTTGAGCTTGTAGCCCAGCAGCGTCTCGAGCTCCTTGCGAGCAGTCGTGCCCCGCGTCGCCTCCACCTCGACCAGCCTGTCTTGGACGCCTCGGATGCTGGCGTTCGAGTGGAGCTTGAACTTGGAGGCATCTAGCTCCGTGCTCGGCACCGCGTAGCCAGTCCTGTCGCTCTTGGCCAGGTTGCACTTGAACGATACCACGTTCTGGCAGAGGGCGCAAAGTTTTATCCCCGTCGCGCCCATGACCTCCATGCTAAATTTGAAAGCTCTCTCGTCCTGTATAATGACGGCCAGAGAGCCCCGCAAAATGCGAGGCATCGCCTCTCCGAAGATATTGAGCTCGACCCCTACGCGCAGGTCGGGCTGGAGAGGCGCACCGAAGAACACCTTCAGCACGATGCGGAAGAGCTGCGACATCCCGCCCTTGAGCCGAAGGACGAGGTCACTCCTGCACACGCAGGCCGTCATCCATGCTTGCTCGTTGCACAAGGTGGGGAACTGGAAATCCAAAATGGACCAGTAGATCGCCTCCAGCTTTCGGCCGTTCACCTCCTTGAGTGGGTTGCCAGGGGTGATCTCGTCGCTGTACGCCGCAATCCTGATCGTGTTTCCAGTTCGGTCCAGAACACGGGTGATCAGCCTGCGAAAGGGCTCGCTCCTCTTGCAGGCCGCCTCGATGAAGCCGAACGGGTGCTGGACCCAGACGTGCTCGAGGCCCTCGTCGGTCTCGACCTCGATGCGCTGGCACAGCGGTCCGAAGGTCGTCTGCTGGTAGGCCTCCTTCTGACGGTGCCTCTGCTGGGTCCGCGAGCTGAAGGCCTCTGGCAGATCCTCATCGGACAGCTGCTTCAGGAGGCCCTCCAGGGCAGCATGGCTGATGTGATGGTCCCGCCCGAGGTCTAACAAGCGAGCACGCTTCCGCTCGCTCATATCCAACTCTGTCGAATCGGCCTGAGCAAAAACAGCAACGGAGGAGGATGGGAGGAGGGTGGAAGCCTGTGATGTTAGCCGGCTCTTCTGGGTGGTCGGTTTTGGGATGTTGGATTTTGGGCGTTCGTTTTCCCTGGCCTTTTTGATGGTTTCGGCTTTCGTTGTTGTTGGATTTGTTATGCTTTCTGTCGGTGATCCTCGTTGCCACGGCTGCATTGGCCTCGACATCCTCTCTGTGGTCGGAACGCGCCCCAGGTCCTGCACGCTGGTCTCCATTTGTTTTGTTATGGGCGGTGGCGGTGACGATAAGTTTCATGATGATGAGCGCGTAATGATACATGCTACTGGTGGTTGTGATGGTGGTGATGATGGTGGTGGCGACGATGCTTCATCATCGCTCGCTTTCTCTGAGAGGTCTGCGCTCACCTCTGCGAGTCCCTACATATCTTTAGCAGCCAAAAGCGTACAGATGCTGCAACTAGCTGTGTGTCAGTATACCCGCGGCTCCACCTACCAGCTCTAGCACCTAACCCTCATGGTGCCGTTTCTCGGAGCTGATCCGACAGAGCGAAGGTAGCAGACAGACTTTAAACGTGCGAGAGTGCCCGAGCGCAGTGGGGAACCCTACTTCTTCCCGTGCTTCTGGTGCACCAGCTTGGCCTTGTGGTACGCCTCCTTGGCGATCGCCCTGCTGTCGACGTCGCTCTTCCCAGCTGCGACCGCCATCCTCTTTGCCGCATCGTACGCGCGGCTCGTGAAGGAGTTCTCGCTGCGGGTCTTGGCGTCGGCAGGCTTCAACCAGGTAGAGTAGTCGATCGTGTGGCTGACGGGCTTGAGAAGGGGCTTGGCCTTGGCCTTGGCTTTCGCCTTGGCCTTAGCCTTGCCCTTGCCCTTTGCCTTGCCCTTCGCCTTCGCCTTACCCTTCCCCGTCTTGGCCGAGCCCGCAGCGGCCACGATCTGCTGCTCGAAGTCCTCGACCTCGTCACTGCCAGCAGCTCCGACGACGTGCGCTGCCTGCTCTGGACTCGTCTCAGCCGTCGGAGTCGACGGAGGCGTCGGCGTCCCCGACGCGAGCGGAGGAGGGGAGTCGGTTGGCTGCGACTCTCCAGAAACGCCAGCGTTGCCGAACGCCATGGTGCTCGGGCGCGGCGCCACTGTGTTCTGCGGCCTGTTGTTGTACGTGATGTTGCAGCCCACACCGCCGCCAGCTCCGCCAGCGCCGAACATGTTGGGCATGCCTGGGGCGCCCACCTGGCCGTACGCCTGGGCCGCGAGCATCATGAGGATCTGGAGCGGGTCGTGCTGAGCGAACTGCGGACGCGTTGGCACGGCCAGAGGCGCAGGGCCGTGCTGGCCAGCCGAGGCACCGCCAGCCGAGGCACCACCGCCGAGCTGCCTGCTCGAGCGCCTGTAGCACATCGCCTGCACATCCACCTCCAGGTTGTCGAGCTCGGAAGGGGGCGCGACAGGGCGCTCGTCGTCGTAGGCGTAGTTGTAGATCATGTCCGAGCCCAGCTGGTCTGGCACACTCGGGTAGACCTCGATGTGCGTGTAGGGCCAGGGCTTCACGGTGTCGAGGTGCCTCAGCCGCGTCTGGAGGTCCTGGCACATGGTCCTCTTGGCCAGCGCCGACGGCGGCGTCTGCCTGAAGGACTGGTGGCAGGAGATGACGATAGCGACGGCCCTCATGAGCAGCTTCTCGCTGGCGCAGGAGATGCCCAGCTTGTGCATCCTGTTGGCCACGATCTGGATCTTCATGACCTCGGAGTGGTCCTGGCTGGTGATCCCCTGCCAGTCGGTGGCCGTGAAGAAGTGCTGCAGCCGATGGCACTTCTGCTGGGGGCGCCCCGTGCCGCCACCAGCGCGCGCGACGCCCGAAGCTGCCTGGGCCCTCTGGTTCAGCGCCGTGGCCATGGAGATCTTCTGCTGCTGCGTCCAAGGCCCGTTCGAGATCTCCTCAGTGACAGCCGTGGCAACGGTGAGGTCGATCCCAGGAGCCACCGAGAAGGTCGCGCACAGGGCGTTGACCTGCGCCTGGGCCAGGAGATTGCGATCCAGGCCCGC